TTCCACCCCAGAAGTTACTTCAGAGAGGCGATCAAGTGATAACCCATCTAAGAAGATATCTAAGGTTGTTGGAAGTTATATGAAATCGAGACCAACAACACCGTCAACTGCCGAACCACATACTACCTCTAGACCGGTGACTCCCACTCTTCCTTCCTTTTCACAAAGCGCTAATGTCATCAATGTAACTATTAATTACGCTGGTACCGATTCCAAAGGAATAGATTCTGATGAGTAGAATTAGGCAGTTTTTTTATTAATATATAATGAATGATATCAATAGCAATATTTGCTAATAAACCTAGCTATTTTTTTTTATAACTTGTAGTAGAATATAAAAGCACATGTAATATTATTAATAGATACATTTGGTAGACATACGTTTTGAAAATCAATAAAGAATTTTATTGGATAAAGTAATACAAAATAAACTATATGTAATATGAGTGAACTATTATACTGTATGTGTGATCACGTGAAATTTAGATCTTAGACCCGGATACTAAAGTTTTCGTTCGAGTCTAGACAAAAATACCTCATTACATATTTTCGGCCGAAAATAAAGGAGCTTTGTCATCTAAAAATTAATGAGAGTATTTCTTCTAGCAAGTTCCAGTTATTATAATTTCGTGATCACGAGTGGAATGTGTTCAGAAAGTATAAAAACCCTATATTCCACTCTTTCGTAAATACATCTCAAAAAAAATACTCATGGAATCAGAAAGATCTAATAGCATAGCTCCGCAGACCCCATTTACTAATGAAGAAGATTTTTTTGAGTCTGATTATAGAAGTATCACTAATCACGAGAATTAAATCATCACACCAACCAATTCTCAAGCCGAATCTGTCACCTGTTTTTGGTGTAAAGAACCTGATCCATTATTCGAAACTAATGGAAATAACTTAGAACCAGTCGCGAGATTGTCCTATCTTCATAGCTTCCATCTTAGGTGTATTATTATTTCCTTAAAAAAAGATATGACATGTCCTTGTTGTCAACATCTTA